TCAGTTATGGGAGGAACTGACCATTTTTTTTTAATTCTAAAAAAATAAAAATTAATTTAATTGGAATTACCCGGATTGCCGGTTCAGAATCCCAACTTGATTTCAACGGTTGAATCATTTCAACTCCAAGAGTCCAAGCCTCCCAAATTGCTAAATGCTAATTAACTTGAGATACTTGAGCTAGTTGAGTAGAGCAAGTCTTCTTCTTGTTGAAACTTCAATAAAGTTGAGAATTAGAGAATCAGTCAATCAGAGTTTAGATCACTTCAGACTTCAGAAAATGTATGAGAAAAGAGATTAAAAGAATTGTTAAATTGGTGTAATGAGAATGGCGAAGGATATGGCTATTTATAGAAATTGAAAATAATTCAATTGCCCAAAATACCTTGAAAACTAGTTATTTTTTAGTTGTTGTAAGGGTATTTTGGTCATTGTAAAGTTATTTATCACTTTATCCAAAATGCCCCCCTAAACTAATTATGTAATTATTGGAGGTATTTCTATAAAAACCTCCAAAAAAACTGAAACTAGCCGTTAGGGGAGGGATCTCCAACGGTTAACTTTCGGGTGGGCCGAACCACAGGCCCGCGGGTCATGCCGACCTGTGGGCTCCAAACCCCAAGCCGAGCACAACCCACATAATCATGTCAGGCCTGGCACAGCCCACATGCCGTCATGTCGAGTCGTGTCAGGCCGATCCAAAGTCTTGCCGCGACCCGGCCCGATTTACATCTCTACAAACAGGCAATATATTCAAAACATTTAATGATAAGGGAGTTGTTCTGGTACGGATGTACAGCTGTAATGGCTTGTTAGGAATGAATCTGGATTGGATTTGTTATACGACACAGTTGTACAGTAGCATATCCGGGTTCCTAAACTAAAGCAAACATTACCTGCAACCCTGAACAACTCAACGACCCCCAGTGATTTTTTAACACGCCAATGTATTATTAATCAGGCACCGATTTGACATGATGTTTTGTCCTTTTAGCCTCACACTAGTAAGCATGTTCAATCACTGGGGGTCATTGAGTTGTTCTGCCACCAGCGTCGAAAGTAATGTTTTCTCTCTAAACTCAGATTTAGATTTATGAGTCAAATTGATAATGTGACCATGGATCAAAGAATAGATTTGTCAATCAAATTCAGGTCAATGGTCATATGGTTCATGTGCTCACTGCCTTTGGCTTATTCAATCTCAAAGCATTCAATTATTATCGTAAATAAAGTAAATCCTATAATTTATGAGTAGTCGTCATTTTCCTTGACAGTCTTTGGTTTGAAAGAAAAGGTAGGTAGTAAAATCATATAATTTATTAGTAACCATTTTCGTTTAAGTTGTTTTTGGTTTGAAGAAAAAAAATAGGGAAAGGAAGGGAAAACATAGAAAAACCTTTATAAACCTTGTATAGGTTTTCTTATCTTTTCTTTCCTTATCTTCTTATTTTTTAACTAAACATAGCCTTAGGGTGTCTATAGGTTTCCTTACCTTTCCTTTTTCTTCCCTTTTCGGTGTTGGGAAACCACTAATGAATTCCCGTTGTAGGTCTTGAATTATCTACATGTTCCAAACTTTGTGATTGAATAGAAAGAAAAGCTTAAACTTAGCACTAATAATAATAAAGGAAAAATTATTCATACATCCCCTTTGAAACTAGAATGTGCACGTGACAATTTTAGATAGTGGTGACAATGACAATGATAATAGTAATATGTGTCCAAACTTTTTCATAATTGTTTTTATATTTCTATGTGTATAAAAATAATTCATACTTATTACACTTATTTTTATTTGATGTATATGATGAATATATAATATTAGAAATATATCTAAGTGTTTTCTGTATTTTTTTATATTTTTATATTTTTATTATTTAATTATGACATCGAGGGTTGACTCATCTAAGCCAAAAGGTTTAATTGTTGACTTTCCACCAATTAGAAAAACAATTTCATTGTTGGATTAGTTTTAAATTTTGTATTTTCAATTCCATCATCAATAGAAACAATTCTATTGTTTATCACACTTATTTTTTTAAATATGATTAATATAAAAAATTGGAGATGTACCCAACTATTTTCTATAATGTTTCAGTATTTTTTATTATTTTATAATTTTTTTTGTATTTTTATCTTTTTTACTTTTTATTATTTAATTATGGTATTAACTTTCAATTGTTAACACATTTGACCCAAAAGGTTGAATTGTTAACCCATTGCCAAATTGGAAAAAATTGTTTTCTTCAATATGAATAATAAAAAGAATTAGAGATGTGTCCAATTTTTTTCTATAACTTTTTTTAATTTTTTATTTATTTATGTTTTTTTTTTAACTTTAACATCATGGGTTGGTCCATTTGACCCAAAAGATTGAATTTCTAACCCACCACTTGGATGGAAGAACGGTTTTGTCCTTGAGTCAGTTTTAAAGAATATGGGTTTTATAGACCCTAGATCTCTTGCCCACAATAACTCTGCCCACATCTAACCACAACACACTACTCCCATGCATTAGGAACATCTTTCCGTGCATAATACTATGTAGGGAGACGAGATGTTCTCCATGTGTGGCTGCAATGTTATGTGGGTAGGCATGAGCAGAGTGATTGTGGGCAGGAGATCCGGACTTGGTTTTATATTGTTAAAAATATTGGATTTTGATCTTATTAGTAGAATTTATTTGCAAAAATACCTTAAATATATGATTCAATGAGAGAGATTGTGAGTTAATGCCCTAAACATAGGACTTAATGATAGGAAATTGAATGAGGTGAAAAATATTAGTTCAAATGTCCTCAAAATGAAATCTCACAAAAAAAAATGTCCTCAAAATTAGAAAGGGGCCAAATTCAAGGAAAAGGGGTATCTTAGTTAAAGAAAAAATTTGCACATAATTCATACTTTTAATAGTACTATAGGTTAGCTAAAACTTTTCCTAATTTTCAAAGATAAAATCCTTTGGGCATTAAATGGAAAAAATATTCTTCTATGCAATAAATTTCAATAACACCCTCATGTAACAAATTCTAAAAGCACTAATTATTAGGGGTGTCAACAGTATTCGAAAATCCAATTTCAAATTTGAGATTCGACATAATTGAATCAAATTCGAATAATTTGAATATCTAATTGGTCGAATTCAGACCCAATAGCTAATTGGATTCAAATTCGGATATGACCTGATTCAATTCACTAAATATCCAAATTCAACCAATTATTTAATTCTTATATATAATATATTAAATATGTAAATGTTTTATATAGTTTATATATACTAATTAAATCATATAAATAATTTATATATTTATATATTTATATATTTTATATATTTTATATAAATAAAATATTTAATTTATATATTTATTAGATACCTAAAATAATTAATTGATTGGATTTGAACCAAATTGAATATTTAATTGAATTCGAATTCAAATATTAATTTTCAATATCTGTCGGATATTGAATCGAATTCGGATGTCAAATTTTATAATTGGATTCGAATTTGGATATTGCCTTATTCGATTCGATTTCGATCCATACCCCTACTAATTAGCACATTTAAGATTCAAATTTTCACAATATATTTGCCCATATTGGCTGATATGCATCATCCTAACAACTTGCTAGTACAGGAAACATAATGGAAAGGGAGGACTTGTTCTTTTTCATTGTTTCAAGCTCATATGGATGGTGTGTCATATATGTATTAGGTGTTTTGGATGCATACCAATCAATACGGTGCTAAAAATAACAATGCAAAAATGAAAAATAAAAGAAAGACAAAAAAAGGCTTCTTTCCTTCTTTGGAAGCCTTCTTTCATTCCCAAATTCTCCAAATCCTCTCTAGACAACACCAAATCTCTAGATCTAAGAAAATAAATAAAAAAAAATCCATCAAAACTCAAGGTATTTGAAGATTTTTCATCCTTGGTCAAAAGTTGCAAAAATGGTATGATTTTCCAAATGTGATTAACCGCAAGTACTAAATTGGCACATTTTAAAAGTTTGGGTATTGAATTGTCGCATTTTAAAGTGGCAGTAGACCCAAAGGACAGGGTACTAATTGGGAATTTCCCCTAAAGGAAATAATAAACTTTTCTTATCCATCACTAAGACTCCAACATAGCCAATTAACCATCCCCTCCCAGCTAATGTTTGAAGTTTGGACAATGATTTTGGACATGGATGCCATTCAATTCTGTAAAAGCTTTAGAAAAAAAGAAAAAAAGAACTTAAAACTTCAGAGGAAGCATGTAACAATGATATAGATTTCATTTATCACTCTCTTTTAGTCTTAATGATGCAATTACTTCTATTAATAGGATGTGGATCTAGAACTGGGTTATAGTGTGATCACAAGGTATTCTCTACTGTGCCAACCAGATGGTACAGAGATAATATACAAGAGTCCACAAGACTAGGAAGATGCAGCAACCAGCATTGTTTTTGCGAGTCTTGTTAGCAAACTTATCATCTCTGAAGTCAGTCTTTGTTAAAAACTAAAATTGACTTAAGGGCTGTTTCATAACAGCTGAAACGGCTGAATTGAATGACTTGTTGCTTTATTTTTCTGTGGATAAAACTATCAAATAATAAAGTATTTGATGGCTTAGTAACTTCGGTTTCAGCTGTTAAGGAGCTCCCAACCTCCTTAAGAACTTATTCACTACAAGCAATAAGTCATTCAGTTCAGTCATTTCAGGTGTTATCAAGCAGCCCCTTAGAGGAAGTTTTTGCCTCTGTAGGACTCTTCAAATATTCCTGGGGATCACTTATATTTCAGAAGATGTCTGATCAAGTGTAACTCCTTTGAGCATGTATCTTTTTGTAACCTTTGCCACAAGGCAAATATGCAGCTTTCACAGCCAAGGAAGCACTGGTTTCTGAATTGGTACTAACTAGGTGGTTATGACACCTATCTTCTAATTTCTAGTGGATAAGCAAGGAGAGGCCCTTCCTTGGGTCCTTTCTTCGATTTCCCTTTGATTTCTTCAATCTGGTTTACCATAAGAAATACATAAACAGAAATTTTAGCATCACAGTTGTTCAGAGTTCCTTCGAGTGAATTTATACATGGATAGTGCTTGCCATCAATGTGGAACAAAACAATGGTGTTGATAAAAGGATCACTTTCTGTCTTCACAATTCCAAATTTTTATCTACAGCAGCACTCAAAGTAGAGAATGGCACAGCACCAATAACACTCTCTCTTTTCTCTCCATTCCTGAAGAACAACACAGTTGGGATGCTCCGGATCCCATATTCTGTTGCAATGTTTGGGCACTCATCAGTGTTGACCTTGAAACACACAATCTTGCCAGCATACTTCTTTGCCAAGTCTTCAATCACAGGTTGGATCATCCTACATGGCCCACACCATGGTGCCCAAAACTCCACCAGAACTAGGAGTTCACTTGCAATGACAGAATTTTCCCAGCTTTTTTCGTTCACCACTCGAACTGTAGATTTAATGTTGAAAATATCCATTAGATCTAAAGAATAGTCTTCATTACACTGTCAAGGAAAAAAATAAACTATCGATTGAATAGTCATAGTTTTAACAATGATGATAATCAATAGCATTGGCTAACTGCAATAGATGTCAAATGTCATGGGATATTACACTTGACACTCAAGTTAACTCAACAAAGCCTTATCACTATATGGTTTCAGGCTTTCAGCTAAGCAAATCCTAATTCACTGCAAACGTCAACTGGATTGGTTCCATTGGTGTTATCCAGATATTAAGTTCTATTGTCAAAGAAACGCTTTCATAAACTGTGTATAATTACATAAATAAAGACGAATGCAATAAATTAAAAAAAAAAAGAAAACCACTGTAACTTTGACCAGCTTATCCATGATAACAAAGTATTTAGGCATTAATACTTGTGAATTGTGATTCTATTATGTCAAGGTTTAAGTACTGTAACGTTAACATTTTAAAGGCCTCTATGGGGCTCCAAGTAGAACTGTTGAACTGGGTGACATCGATAACTTTTTCTCTAACCTTCTTTTACTTCTTTCTTGGGTCCCATAATTCCAATCCAATGAATGTAGACAATAATTCTTTGAGGAAACAGAGAACAATTATAGTTTGCAACTAATAATCAAGATCAAGCATATTCATTTTTTAGTAAATAAATTAATAAACAGTACTGTGAATTCTTTGGGCATCTGATATTGAACAAAGAATGTTAGTTGTAGGACCTGCTAATCACTAAAAAAAACAGTGAAATCCATATGAAAATCAGGCTTATGACACTCCCTTCCCCCCAACACTAGGCATAGAGTCAAGTTTCTTCTCTTTGTTCTTGATATCAATCTTTTGTTGGCCCTTGAGTTAATCTTGAACTATTATAGGAGAAAACTGGTTTCTAATTAGATGCAGATTACCTATTAGCAATTAGATTAGAACAAACAACCGAAATAACAAAAATAGATTCCCAAATTGAAAGAAAAGAAGAAGAAGAAATCATCCTCTGGAAGTAGAAAGGAGATGATGAACTCACCCTCATCGATGACTTCTCCGGCTTTGCAGACAATTCTGGATCCACGGCATCTGTGATCAAGAGAACGGGATAAAGACGAAGATGATGATGGTGCTGAATGAGAGAGGGTAGACACCTTCAACCCTTTGCATGTCGGCAAATTGAACCTTTCCCTGGAGGAAATTGAAGAGAGAGGATGTAAAACAGAAGCTCTAGTTGTAGCTGCAATGGAGCTGAACTGGAAATAGGTCTCTAGGGCCATTTTCTTTCTGGGGTTTCACTGTTTCAGGGGGGATTGAAGCCGAGGAAGAGGGAGGTGAATGGGCTTTCTTTGATTTTCAATTCTTATTTCTTTTAGTGGATATTCCTGTGAAGATTGTGAGGTGTTCGAGTAAGCAGGAGTTCATGTGGATGATATTTGTCAATGCATGGTCCACCAATTTGAATTGGTATCTCCCGCTACAGAATCCAATCGAGTGGTTGTGGTCTGCCGTCCTTTTGGCTGTTCTCATGAGTCATGGCACATCTTCTAGCCAAAGATGAAATGAACGCCATTGGATAAAGAAAATTAAAGATGATCATCAGATATGTAGACTTTCTTTCTGTTGACCGCCTTTTCCACGAGTGTGTTGACTTGCTTCAGTGCGTCGGGCTAAGTGGCAAACCCGCACCAACTCGTCTGAGCATTTAATCGGGTTAACCAATCAAATGGTGGGTCCCACTTTTAAGGGCATGGTATAGGAGGGCAGTAATTGGAGTTGGAAATTTGGCAGATATGAGGTCACAATCCACCTGCAAGATACCCATCCTGGGAAGTTGATTGGATGGGATGAAAAGTTGGATTTGAGATGATGATCCTATGCATCCATTGCAGGACGTTTGGATAACAAAATGATTCCATCATTTGGACTCATGCAGGGCGTCATCTGCCAACCGTTAGATGGGAATTAGTGGTAAAAAGTGACAGCAGGATGTGACAAGTGACAACCATGGAGGGGTGGGCTGGACTTAATATGGACCTTCCCAATGCCCCGTAGGCCCGTATCCATGGGCTGGACCAGATATGGGCTTTTCTAAATCCAATCAACCCCGCCAGCCCTCCTGACCTGACAAAGCAAAAGCAGTGTATGGACCTGATCTTCATTCTTCGGTATGCTACCAACGAAACGCTTCCTTGTCATTTATGTTCGACTGCAATGGATTGTTGGAAATAGATTTGAACTGCTTTCACATTCAAAAGAGCGTTCTAGCTCCGATAATGAGACCAGATTAAGTGTACTTGATGGATGTGGTAGAGATGTTTAATCAATAATAACACTCCACCTCAGCCCTAAAGCATATATAACCACACCCATTCCGATCTCTCTGCATTCATGGTTGACGTGGGGCTTTCCCATTCCCAGCTTCAGTTATATTTGGATGAGATACTATTAATATAGTTAACAATGACAATGAATTGTTTTTATGAATTTGTTTACATGAAGGATGCTTGAATGTTTATTTTATTATTTAAATTTATTTATTTTTAGGGTCTGGTTGGTTTGTAATTGGAATCAAAATCCTCTGAAATGGGAGTTGAAATGATCAATTCCCATAATCTGTTTAGTGCAGACATGAATAGAAATGGGAATTAGAATCAACAGGAATAGGATTTTATTTTCAAGGAAAATGCAAAGAATGACCATTCCTTCAAATAGAAAAATTCTATTCCAGCATGAATGAGAATAAGATTTCGATTCCATCCAATCAAACAGTTAAAATCAAAATAACCCATTATGATTCCGCTTCCAGACAATGAGGCCTTAGATTAAATAGATTAGTTGTGTTAATTTCATGTTAATTCGGGTTATATGTATCATTTAATATAAAATCAAATGTATTATCAAGAAAACGAGTCATGGAGGCCATATTACTCGTGTTTGAAAATTGGAGACAATTAATTAATTGTGTTGTTTTCATGTTGCCCTATGTTTCTAAATACCCTGACACAACATAAGAACACGATTTACCACACATATAGGGATGTGAATGGACCAATTATTAGCTAGAGCATGTTAGACTTGATCCCAAAACCAATGAAAAAAAGTACTGAGATAGTGAGACCCAATTCCAACCGCATAGATCTATCTATCTATATTTAGACATCTTATATGAAATTATTATGAGTAAACTATGGAAAACATAAATAAAACTTTGGAAAGTATCTTTGCACGTGCTAATATACACATTTATGTAATAATGTAATGGATATACATTTAATATTTACATAATTACTTACATGGAGTTTGGAAGTGTGGGCGATTTTTGGGACCGATTTTTAAGAAAAAATGTTCATGCTTTCAAGACCCATTTTCACAAAAAAACACTTTGATTTTGTTTGAAAGTATTTCTGCTACATAGGCAGTGAACAACATTATGTTGTTTGATAAGGTGATTTTCATCACCGCTTTTCATGTATATGTTGACGGATAAGCACCACATAGGATACATGTAATCGCCAATCAATCAACTGTTGGGGGCAATGGTTTACCGATACATGAAACGCTAAATTTGATGTCTCATGCATCGGTGCGGTCCCAATTTATAAGACATGCCCATGGTTCAAGCATTTTTTTTTTTCAAAAAACACGTGAACCAAACAATCATATAAACACGTGCCCTATGTGGATCCAACGTGGCACCATTTTTCAGAAAAACAGCCATGGTTCCAAACATCCCCCGTAGCGTTTTCAACCAGTCATTAACCTGGAGCAGTGATCGGATTATAATTCTATTTTGTATCAACTTCCAACCTATCATATTACAAAAAGCCGATGACTTAGTCAAAGATATGTCAACTCAAATTGTTGAATTGTTGACCTGTTTAACCCGTTCAATAGATTATCGGTTTTATATATTATTTTATATTATTTTAAAAATCTTTTTATGATGATTATTGAGCCATTGACTCAAAAGAGAAGGTGGTTCAATGTCCAAGCCGGGTTTTAGAACATGGATTTGGATTTTAATGGGTCATAATAGGTAAATTCAGTCAAATATGACACAATTATCTATACTATAAAGTGGATATTTAATTTAATGCAAATATAAAAGTTAAATCTAAAATATCATGTTTGTATAACATGTACTTTTGTACTAATAACTATAAAGGGAAACTTCAATTATCCTCACGTAACAAATTCTAATTTCATCTTACAATTAGAGAAATTTTGCCCAATTAACAAATTGTAACTTCACTTACCCCCCACGGCCCCACCTAAAAAATCTAACGTCACTTTCCTCAGTGAGGTTTTCCCTTTATCAAATCATTAATTGAACCTCTTGATGCCAATGGGCGGCACTCTATATGGGTTTGTCTTGGCCCTAACCCGGCCCTCTAATATTTCCACTTGGATCCAATCTGACCCGATTCAGAAACATGGAGTTTCTAAAACCACCCCCCAACCATTAGAGTTGAGCCCAATGCCAACTCAACCTGACTCGTACCTTATCAATTGTATTTTTTAACACATTTTAAAAATTTAAAAAGCCATTTATTTAAATTGAAATTTGATTTATAGTTTTTAAGGTGTCACTTTCTCCAGAAGAAAAAACTAAAATAAACATAAAAAATCTTAAAACTTTAAACAATTATGAATTTAGAAATCATAGCAAATTATAAGAATACCATATATGCCAGTGTATCATGGTGGGGTGAGTCAACCTTAGAAAATCAAAACTCTAACATGACCCCACACTAGAATAAACCTGACCCTAACACGACCTATAAGGTCGGATCAAGGCGGATATACTGTTTTAACCCGACCCATTGACATCCCAATTTCCTATTGTTTTGTATTTCCGCCCTTGTTATTCTTAGGTACTTATTACTTACGCAAAGCCTATATTGTCTAGCTTTTCATTGATAAAGTCTTGGGGAAAGTGGAAATCCAGACCTGATAAGAAATTCTCTCTCCATCATTCTAGCTTAGGGGTATTGACTACTGGCCATTGCCACTTACCTGTTCAGAAGACGATACAAATTGAATGTACAACCTGCCAAAGCTGCCATGAATGAAACTCTCTTACAGCCCCTCAGTCGTCACAGATCCAATTTGAATGAATTTTCTTCACTTATCTATTGACCTTTCTTTCCCTAAGAAGAGTTATGAAAGCTATGAGCCTATGATGGGGTGTTAGTATCATTGGAAAAAAACATCCAGCAGCCATTGAAATTGTGGTAGATGCATGCCCAATTAATTTATACCCCAGAATTAAATTCATATTATTTATGTTATTTTCTCATTCAATTAAGACTTTTTGAGATGGTTGAACAATTCAGTCTGATAATATATATATATAACCATTAAATTATCAAATGACCTTCGATCACACTGATTTGATCTCGCCTTTGAATTTAAGGTAGCAGTCAATAAATTCTAACTCAACTCTGATGGATTAGTTTTAGTTAGACTAGAAACTAGAGCACGTTTTAGTCAGACGCTCTATTTTTGGATCTAGGACAATTTGCTAAATTCAGCACATTTGGAGTCAAAACATAAAAATCAAAATATCTCTAGTGCAGCTGGTATTATACACTTCTTGTTGTTCTCCAATACCCAACAAACCTGAACAGTTCTAACCCTATTTATATAGAGTCTGGATCTACTGATGACAACACATTGTTGGTCACTTTTATTCAGCCGCACATATGAAACATTGGTTGTGTTGTGATCACCGATATTCTCATTGTGCGATTGGATGAGCGTGGTCAGCAATATGTTGTGGTTGTGTCATTGATTGTTAATTGGATTAATTCTGGCCTTCCCTGTCTGCATTTTTTAGTCTTAATTATAATTAGGAAAAACTTCACTGAAACCCACCTTAGAAATTTAAACTCACACCCCACCTAAACGCCAATATCCCCATGGGTCAATTCCCCCTTCACTGTTCCCCAATTATATGATGAAGTTAGAATTTGTTAGGTGGGGGGCCACGGTCATGATATAGGAGTGGTTTGCTTCATTTGTAAGGGTTTTGGGTGCTTCAATTTCAAACATGATAAATTTTTTTTTGATTGTAGTCTCAAATTGTTTTTAATTGTCCTAATTATGAAATATGGAAGTCTAAAAATTTTCTCTTTTTTTTAATTTTATATATATTTTTAATTCTATGTCATTTTTGAAACAACCAATGAGATTCACTTTCTCAATAACCAAAATAATCACTTCTCCTAAAATTTCTCCTAAACTACCTCCCCCACTATCCCCCACTTTCTCCAAAATTATCTCCAACATTATCTCAATAGAAAGGGGCATATACTAAAATACCTCTCATAGTTTCATGAATTTACTAAAATCTACCCTATAGTTAGCATTT